TGGGGTAAGGGAGGGGCAGGGTTCCCCCCGTTTGACCCTGGCCTTGGGAGTCCCGGATTACATCCATCTTTGGGGTCCTTCATACACCATGTGGGAAAATGTAAATTTATTATACCTCACTTTACCATGGGAGAAACAGACAAATTCATTGACTCAAAGGGAAATCCACAGGCTTCTAGACTCAGTCGGCCAAGCCCCATCCCTTACCCCTATACTGCTTCTAGAAAATGCTGGAAAGAGAAAAACCCAGTTGTAGTTCCTGGTTCTTACCTTGGTTGCACACTGGACTCACTTGGAAGCTGTACTGCTGGGCCTCACCCTTAGAGATCGGATGTAATTGTCTGGGGTACAGATTGGATATTGGTACTGAGAATGAAAACAGTAAGAGCTCCTGGCTGGCTTGTTTATGTGCCACCAGGGTTGAGAATGACTGCTCTCACCTCATTAGCATGATCACTGTTGGCATCATGGCTCCAACAGGGTCTCTAAGACTTAAATGAAGCCAATTTGGAACTGGGAATAGTCCTGGGCAATGAGGGGAGACAGTCCCTGATGACCTCGTGAAGAATAATCCTCCTTTCCATTAAAGCAGACTTACTCACCAAAGACTAGAATGTGTACCAGCAGCCATGTGAACCTGTCACGGCATTAAATAATGGTGACTCTCAGAGTGACCTAAACCCTCATTTTTCAACTCGCTTTCTGATTCACAAAGGAGAAGCCTCCACTTAGCTTGGCTTTAACCTCCCTTCGGCTTGGCAAAAGCCAGGGAGCCGGTTGCCAATGACTAAAATTCAAGTGACACTGATCTCAATCTTTGTCTCTGGGGCAGTTGAGTGAGAGAAATGTGGAAATTATGAAAGAACCAGGTGGTTTAACATGATCCCAGCCCACCAGGAGAAAACGGAGTCTCGAGATACTTGGTGACTTGCCCAAGGAGTCAGATCACGGTTTCCCCCTTCTCCTGCTTTGTAGTTAATGAAGAAAATCACGCTGAGAGAGCGGTCCTTTCCATACAACTGCGGCATAGCCATCAGACTCCATTCTTACTCTGACCTCAGAGACGGGCAGACAAGCCCCACTGAGGAGGAGAGGGGGAGGGGAGACATGGAGGGTAGGAGAAAGGATGAATTGTGGAAAAGTGCAACACTTGTTGGTTCAGGAGACAGATTTCAGAAGTTACATGGAGAAAGAATTTGGTTCAAAAAAGAAAGAACTTTCTAATGCTGCCAAGGCCGCTACGGGCTGTGTCAGGAGACAGGCAGAGGCCCACCTTCTCCGTCCCTGTATTTATTTGTTAAAGCTGTAGACTTTCCCTCCTAGTGTTGGCTGTCCCCAGATGTGAAGAGATTCTTGTCTGCATGATGGTGTTTGGGGCCAGAATTCTCTTACACACTGAGGTGCATGGGACTCCTCAGATGCTCCTAAGCCTGGACTTCAATTTGTCTTCAGACAGCTGGGAGAGGCAAGTTAGTCTCCTAGGTTACCTCCTCCCCTTCCAAAATCACAAGCCTTTGAGCTTCAGGATGAGGGAGGGGGGAAGCTGAGCCAGATGAGGAGATTGAATGTGAATCCAGATTAAATCCTGGAGGAATTTGCACCTGTTACTGGGATGTGATTTGACTCTGGGCCAACAGCGGGTTTCCTCAGCCCTCATGCTGAGCTTAGGGTCTGGCCACTGCTACTCAGGTTGGAGTCCCATCAGACCGCCTAGGGTGCTTGTTGGTTACAGAGAGTCTTCCAGCCCACTTCCCCACAGGATTCTTCAGATATGGGCTGATTTTGATGGTGGAGATCTATGGGCTACATTTTGCCAAACACTAATCAAATGTGTCTCGGAGAGCCACATCCCAGGGAAATGTGGGCCATAAGTAAGGTGGGGGGTGCGCTTGGTCAGGATATGGGGGCACCAGAAGTCTTTGTGCATTGGACATTCCTAAGGAAGGAGGGCAATCTGGACTTCCAGAGATATGAGATAATAGACTCAGAAACATTTAGAGTCTCAGACACACAAGCTCTTATTCATAACGGAATAAAAGAATCTTAAAATAATAGAATGTCTTCGCAGTAGAGCTTAGTGGTTAAGAATCAGTGACACTCAGAGTGTGACTTCTTTGCATGCTGGCCAGATAACTGACATCATATTATCATCCTCTCTGGGCTTCTGTCTCCTCATTCATTAGATGGGCTCACTAGTAAGTATAACATCATGCTCCCGAGGATGTTATTACATGTAAATTAGTCAGGGCAATTAAAGGGCACAGCGTGGAGTCTGGCACATGGTAAGGGCTCCACAAGCTATTATAGCTACCAGGGTCATAGGATCTTAGAGCCAAATGTGACCGTAGAGGTCATCTAGTGAGTCCATGCTGAGGCAGTGACTCCTGGTGGGAGAAGCATCAGTAGAGACGCTGGTGTGCTACGGCTTCTGATTCAGCTTCGCTCAACCCGGCCACCTGGTGGTTGCACCCCAGCCAAGGGAAGGGGCACTTAAACCACCAAGGGAGTTTGGAGGTCCAGCTCCTAAGACTCTGAACCCGAGAACGTTGCCTTTCTGCATCTACTGCCAGGCGCTTTGCGGAGCTCACAGGCCAGCTGTCCGTGGGCACCAGCAGGCTCAGCTGAGGAGAGCAGGGAGGTCTCCTCCCTCCTCCGGCTCTGGTGTTTAATCAAAACAGTATTCAAAATATGATTCTGGGAGATTATACTGGGAGATTTGCAGGAGGCTCTCAGTGGGGGCAGAGATGGTGGGAACAGATTGCTGCCGGGGGCCTGAGGCTGGGTAATCACGGGCTCAGACAGGCCATTCTCAGGCCCCTCACCCGTACCCCAGCGTGCAAATCTAGACCATCCCTGTATTTTACAGCAGGGGACTGAGAGGGGAAGGGGTCGTGCATGCCACTAAATAAAGTCGTAATGGGATTGGGATGGCAAAGCCATTTTCTGGGATTCCAGCTACTCTTTTTGGCTCTTCTCACACCCCACTCTCCCAGCCAACCCTGATCTTGGGGGACAACCCTGGCTGCTATGGGGGGGGGGCAGTGAGAGGCTCGGCTTCCCAAACCAGAGATGGAGAGACAAGCTCCCGAGGTCCTGGTGGCTTTATTTCCCAAGGCCTACGGTTCCTACAAAAGGCTGAGTGGCTGGAGGCAGTGTACCTGTCGGATCCCCCCAGCCCCATCCTTTACTGTCTGTTCAGCCACGAACTCTGGCTTAGGTGGGTCCCTTCTCTCTGGCTTCCCTTTCCATCTCCGCGGGCTGACTCAGTGTGATGCCGAGGGCCCCTCCCTGCCACAGAATGTCTAGCTGGAGCCCCGCTCCCAAGCGGGGCGCTAGGAAGCAGCCTCCGCAGGCTCGGCGGCCTCGGGAGGGTCTACCTGGTCCCCGGAGGGGGCGTGGTCGAGAGCGCCTCGAAAGAGACCTCGCGCTAATGCTCTTTATTACAAGCGTTAATCCTGCAAAGCCGACTGGAAATAATGTTTATCTTTTGGCAGTTTAATTTCCCGGACCCTAAGCCACGGGTCAGTGAGGGCGACTGGAAGGGCCCTGGGGAGGCTGGGGGAGGCGCACCTGCTGTCCAGAAGCCGGAGGGATTTCCGAAGGAAGCGAGGGAGGGCAGCGCGAACCGAAAAGGACCCTGAGCGGGAAGACGGTCCGTCCCAGCACGGATTCCGTGCGACCCTGCGCCCGCCCCTCGCCCTCCCATTCGGCCTGTTTCTCGTCTGAGGAAGGGTTTTGTATTTTTGTCACTCGTGATCTCTGAAGGCCCCCCTGACTCAGATCATTCTAGAGGAAAGGAGACTGGTTCGGGAGGTGGCCTGCCGCCTGTTCCCGTGAACAACCGAACCTCCCCCTGCAGCCTCCAGGGGTCTTCAAATCTGTCTCCGTCCCTTCTCCACAGGACGCCGGCCCCTCCCGCCCCCGGCTTCGGCGGCTGGCCGGAGCCCCGCAGAGGCGCCGCTGCTCGCGGACCGAGCCCTCGGGCGCACACCCCGGCCGCCCTCCCCGGGCTCCCCACTGCTCCGAGCCCCGATTCGCCTTCCGCGGCCCCTGTGAGCAGCGGCGGGCTCGCGCGCGGGCTGAAGCCGAAGCCCCCGGGCCGGGACCTGGACAGCTCTCCCCAGCCCGACCCGACCCTGGGTGGAGGTTGGGAGGGGACCCAGCGCCCTTCCCCGCCCTCAAGCGCCCATTGGTTGGCCTGTACCGGAAGTGTTTGCGGACACTGGCTGAACGCGAAGAGTGCCCCCTGCCGCCCGTCGAGCTGGCAAGCGGACTTGGCCGTCCGTCCCGCCTGGGAGCGCGGTGGTCCCAGAGGCCAGTCAAGGGACTGCCGATAAGCTCCCCATCGCCCCTTGTCCCAGTGAACTTAAAACCCAAATACGGACAGGGAAACACATGCAGCTTCCAGACGAATATCCGGACAGCTCGCACCAGCCCCGACCCCAGAGTTGCAGCCCCACCTCCCGCGCACGAATCCGCCCAGACGGCCAGACTCGGAGAGCTGGCTACGCGCAGAGTTCCGTGGGCCGAGCAGGCGCCCCGGCCTCGGCCAAAACCTGGCCAATGTCTCTCCTGCTAAGAAAGGGACCGAGATCTGCAACCCACGCCGCACTGTCCCCAGAACACTCGCCCACAGTCCGTCCTCCTGACCTCTTCAATCACCCCTGTCACAGAAGGGCCACACAGCTTAGGTTAGGCTTAATTATTTTTTAAGGACACAAGGAGTGGGGAGAGGGAGAAGGCGTAGGTGATCCTTAGGAGTCAGGTCAGCGTGGAAGTGACAAAGTGATGGTTCGGGGGTGATGGAGAGAGGGGGCAGCTTCACACCCTGAATCCAGAGGAGGGAGTCAGACTCGCCCAGCCTTCCCCAAGGTGCTCTGCCACTTCCTCTGGGATCTGAAATGATGCCCATCTGCCCACCACTCCCAGCTCTGCGTGCAAGGAGAGCCTGTAGGAGGGTTTCTGTGTGTCCCTCTCTTAAGCGAAGTGAGAGCCCCCAGTTCCTGGTGAGGACTCCCAGCTTCTTAGAGTGAAGGTGAGTTGAAAAGTAGGGTTTATTTCCAAGATTCTTCGGCAAATCGCACCATTGCGCTAACCTGCTGAGAGAGGAAAGGTTGATTAAAACCCAAAGGCCGCCAGGCGGGCAGTGATTCCCAGGAAAGCAGAGGTCAGTGTTGTCTCATCCGAAGGGACTCAAAGGTCTAGAAGCAATTTGCTTGCCAGAGATAATATTTGGACCCCTTTATGTGTAAATTCAAATAACAATGTAACCCAATTTTCTAAACCAGCTAATCCTGCGAGAAATTACTACAAAGAGCAGAATCTGACAGTAATTGCTAAAGGCTGCCAATTTATTGGGGAATGTGCCTTTGTGGGGTGGGGTGAAAATTCCTTCCGCAGGGTATAGCCAGAGAACCAGCCTGGGGGGAGACCTTAACTGGCAGCCACACCCTGCTTAGGGTTGAGATCTTGGGGGTGAGTGCTCTCCGGGGACAGCCCGAACCCTGGGCTGCCCTCCCCAGGGGAGCTAGTGGGCTGCAGAGGACTGCAAGCTATCTCAAGCACTGGCTTGACACCAGTTGTCTGTCTGGCCCAGCCCTTCACACCTCTCAGAAAGCCCTGTGCCTGCCAGCCCTAGCAAACTCTTGATACAAGCACAGCAGGGGCTAGCTGCCCTCCTCTGAAGGACAGGCTGGGGACAAGGTCACCCGTGCCAGAGGGTTGTGGTGATGCCCACCAGGTGCTTTTGGCAGACCACTGAGCCAGTGCAGAGATAGATGTAGATTGCCATCTCTTTGATGACTTTCTAAGTGAGCCTAGGTAAGTTAGTCTCGCTCTGAGCTAATTACTAGTATTTGGCTTTAAAATGAGGGGAAACTAGAAATACTATCTCTAAGCTTCCATTTCAAAGAGTGCTGTGAGACAATCTCATGCCAGGTCGAACCTGGGCATGCCCAAGAGTCAGAGAGGGTATGCAATGGCTGGGCAGCACATGGGCAGGTGTCTTTTGGACACACTCCCAGAGCCCTCCGGGGCCCACTACCTTCTGCTCCGGTTGGGTACTGGCACTGCACTGCCGGCTCCCTCCGCCGCGGGCACGGAGCACAGTTCAGGGGCAGCCCCTGCAGCGCCAGCGTGGGCTTTCCAAAGGCTTTGGCTACGCGGGAAGACTCCTCACATGCAGAGTCTCTGGGGACCGAGGGTCGCCCTCCCAAGCCTGCAGGCTGTCTGGGAATCAGATGGCATTCAGGACTCCTCGGCTTGGGCGGGGTTGGAGGTGCACCTTCGACAGTGCTGGCTGCAGCGGTGTGCGCCAGAGACCAGATGCGTGGTTTCTGGCTGCATGGGAAGTGCGTGGTCAGTGTGGGACCCCCTGGCTCTGCCCGGAGGAAGTCAGCGTCTCGCGATCCGGGGGACGCATGGAAGGAGAAGCAGGGCGCTGCCAGACCGCACTCCCTGCGCTCCAGGAGGCCCACTCGAGCTGCAGCACAGGGCGCCGGCAGCAACTGCGTGTCCTTATGGAACTCAGCCAGCCTGTCCGCAGCTGTGACCACTGCCGCCTCCTCTTCGGCCTCCTCCTCCTCCTCTTCCTCCTCCTCCTCTTCCTCCAGGTCTTCCAGATCACTCAGCCGGAGCCCGCGAGCTTCCTGGCTAGCTGCACTGTCTGCAGGAAATCAGGAGAGAGTGAGAAAAGCCCCAGGCCCCAAGGGAAATCCAAGGGAGTACCCAACCCTGAGAAGCTTTTAGCAAGATGTGTGCTGCACTCAGGACATTCTCGGAGTAATTCACCAGGCTGACTGCCCATCTCTCACTCTTGCCCCCAGTTGGTGGCCTGCCCCAGGGAAAGAAGTCCCACCCCAGCCTTGACCCCAACCTTTGGAAGTCTCCGCCTCTCCGTGCAACCCCAGTCCAAGGAAATCCACACTTTGTGCTGCTGTCACTAAGACCTGGATCTTAGTTTCTCACCCATATAAAAGAAAGGGGACAATTTCTACCCAATTTCCACACTCACAGGTGGCTAGTGTGTATGATTTAATTCAGTAAATATTTACAGAGTGCTAACGATGAGCCAGACAGCATTTAGGCATTAATTTAGGGACAGATATTCTAGAGGAGCGGAAATTCTGAAGAGGTCATGGTGATAAGTATGTCGAAGGAAATAAAAGGGTCTGACAATAGAGAATAACTGGGAAGCTACTTTGGCTTTGGTGGCCATGGAAGGCTTTTTAGAGGTGACACTTTAAAGTCCAGAAGAAGCTGGTTCTGTAGGGAAGTCGGATCAGAGGGTACCCAGCAGGCAAAAGCCATGAGGCACCAGGGGACAAACGTGGAGGGTAAGCAAGGAGTGCCTTCCATAAAAGCTGCCCCACCCCACTTACCCCACAGTGGAGTGGGTGGTGAACATTTTTGGTACCTTTGGTGTCACTGTTTAGGCAGCCCCGTGATTCTTCTGCTCCACCTTCCACCTTTCTCTCCTCCCCGCCTTTGTTCTTGGGGGCCCACGTCATCTTGTTCTCCTTCTTGAGGCGCCGGCGCGCGTTGGCGAACCAGGTGGACACCTGGGTGAGGGTCATCTTGGTGATGATGGCCAGCATGATCTTCTCGCCCTTGGTGGGGTAGGGGTTCTTGCGGTGCTCGTTGAGCCAGGCCTTGAGCGTGCTAGTGGTTTCTCGGGTGGCGTTCTTTCTGCGCCCAGCGCCACTCAACTCCATGGCTCCATACCTACGGGGAGAATCTGGCTCACAGTTCTGGGGCTGGCGACCTGGGGCAGCAGGCAGGAGATGGTGAGTGGCCTGGAAATGAGGTTCTGCTCCTCTGTCCCTGCTCACCCGCCTTCCCATGCTCTGTCCAGGTCAGCCCTACCTGGGCAGTGGAGAGGGCAGGACTTTTGATGCCAGTCACAGTGTGCCCCATGCCTTACCTGTCATACTGGTATTGCCCCAGAGTCGGCTCGTAGGGATAATAGGCTCCTGGTTGTGTCAGGCCAGGTGTAAAGTTCCCTGCAGTCTCCTTAAATTCATACTGTGGATTCTGGTGGGGGAGGAAGAAAGGAAGTTCTACCCACATTTGGGGAGGAGGCGAAGCAGGGCAGTTGGTAGGGGTGTGAACTCCAGATTCAAGTCTGGTTTAAGTCCCAGTACCACTGCTTGTTACTGGCACTAGCTGTGTGACCTTGGGAACAGTTGTCAGTCACTCTATGCCTCAGTTTCTCCTGGGTACGATGGGGATAACAACAGTCACTATAGGTTGGTTATCTAAGAAGAGTGCTTGGCAGAATTCCTGGTGCAGAATAAACAGTAGTCAAACATTAACTGTTATTATTATTGTTACTACTTGTGTGTTTCTCCCTCTCTCCCCAACCCCAGCAGCTGGGGGACTTCCCTGCCTCAGCCTCTTGCAGAGCTGTTCCCTGACCCTTTGCATCTCTGTGGCTCTGGGGAAGGTACTGACCTCTGCACCTCAATTTCCTCATCTGTAAATTGAGGAAAGTGACGACTTGCCTTCCTCGCAGAATTAATAGAAGTGCAAATGTTTCCTAAACAGCATGGACTTCTGCAAACTGTAAAATGGTCCAAAGATGTACTTTCCCCCTAATACACAATCCTAACCATTTTCTGCCCTCAGAGTTGTTCGTCCTTCCTAGATTTTCCTTGGAGATCCAGGATGGATTTCACCTGAAGCTGCCGCCTCTGCCCCCAGGCCAGGTGGGTGCCGGCGCATAGACCCGCCCCCACACCGTGTACTCACCAGCGCCCCGTACAGCGTGGGTGGCTCTGGGCTGTAGGGCAGGTACCCAGGGTAGCTCTGGGCAGCTGCAGCGGCGGCGGCGTAGGGGGCTCCATAGATGCCCAAGGCTGTGCCTAGTTCAGGCCGCGCACTGCCCAGCAGCCGGCCATCGTAGGGTGCTAAGCAGAGAGTCGCCGCCGCCGGGGTGGAGCCTGCAGCCACATCTGGGACGGAGCGCGAGGCTGATTCGCAGCAAGTGGCACTGGAACTTGCAGACACCAGAAACTATGGGGGCAAAAGAAAGGGCACCGAAGGTCAGAGATGGGCGCCTTAAGCTGGCGAAACCAGCAGCGGAACTGCCAGATCTCTCCGTTAACTAAATGCCGCTTTGTGTTGATCATTCTGCTGAGCGCCCAATCCAGGAATTATCTGAAGACTCAGTTCAGCCAAACTGCACTTGTAGAGGCTCCCAAGTCCTTGCTAAGGCTCCAGATTCCCACGGGTTCTGCCATTGGGAACATTCTGAAACCAGAATTACAGAAGACCTACTGGCCTGGTTCGCGCGCTCACCCCAGCCCCTTCCCCATCACAGGAGCCTACAAAGGCAGAGCTAGAAGTTGGCCTTAGAGACCTTCAACACGTCTCACACGCTCATTTTATAGAAAGGGCAGGAGGACCAGAGTAAGTGCAGACTTGTCCAAGATCACAAAGCGGGTCAGAGGTTGAGCTGGGACTAAACTCTGGAAAATGCACCCTACACCAGGGAGGGAAACTGGAGAACAGTGGTTGGTGTCCCCAGAATTTACCCAGGAAACCCTTGTCACTTCACAGCTTCCACATTGGTCTTGAAAATTGAAGGAACCAGAAGCTGAAAGTTTGGACCGACCCAAGGAAGGGGGAAGATAGGAACAGAGGTCAATAACGAACAGCAAGAGGACAATTGTGAGATGGACAACGCTCTGTACTGGAAGTCTTTTTTTTCTGAGACTCTCCTGGCCACCTCGGATATCTGTACAGTAAATAGGCCTGTCTGGAAGATCTCTGAGATCCCACCCACCTCGCTGAGCGCATGGTCAGAGTGTGCAAGTTTCAGCTCGCCCGATTTTCCAGATTGCATTGGGGGAGTGGACCGTTCTCAGCTGGGGACTCAGGATGCCAGAGTGGACTGTGGTACATTTCCCTGGTTCCTGCGCCCTCTGGTCTCCCGGGAGACTCGGGAGAGAGGAGGGCACTAGGGTAGGTGCGTGCACTGAGTACCCCTTCCATCCAGTCTGCCCCATCCCTCGTGGGAATGCCTCTTACCTGGGAAGCGCTGCCATAGGGGTGTCCAAATTGCGGGAAGGACATGGTGGCTGTCCCTGGCTCGCCTGCCTCTTATTTTGCTCGTTCCCGCCTCAGCCCCGCGGTTCTGCGCCTCCAGCCGCGTCCTGCCTCGGTTCCTTACAGGGCTGCGGGAGCCCTGCGCCGGGTCCTCCGCCCGCTTGGCGCTACCCGAGGCAGAGCCAAGGGCAGACCGGCTGCCGAGCCCTGCGCTCTAGAAGGCGCTCCACCGGCCCGCGTGGTCCGGAAGACAGAAGGGCCCATGGATAAGCAGGGGAAGAAAGAGGATACGAGTTCCCAAAGGTGCGCAGTGGCGAGGCGAGGTGAGGCGCGGCGCGGAGCTGTGCGGTTCCGGAGGTGTCCCAGTCCAAGGCGGACAGAGGCTCAATATGACGTCACGGTAATCCCGGGCCGCCAGGTGGGTCCCCCAGCCCTGGGGCCCCGGGCCACCAAACGTGCCAAGCGCAGCCAGCCCGTGCGCGAGCGCGCACTCTCACCCACACTCACACTTATTCCAGGAGGTTTGCGCAGCTGGTGAGGAATGTCAAAGCCCCTGACCCTCACTGCTGGGCGCTGGATCCTACCCCTTTTCGCCTTACACTCACGCGCGCGCGCACATACAACCTCTCCAAATTACCCGGGAGAAGTAGGTGAAACGCCTCCCTCTGCGCCGCGCAGGCCCCGGGCGCAGCGAGCTCCCCTCCTCCCTGCGGCCCAGAGGAGGAGAGAAGCAACCTAGGAAAGAGAGAATACAAAAGAAGACACAGGAGAAAAAAAGAGGAGAAAAGTGGGGGAGAAAGGCAAGGGGGGGAAAGAGGAGGGAAGAGGAGAGATGAAGAGTATAAGTGAACAGAGGCGCGTTGGGGAGGGGAGGGAGCTGGGGTGGGGGAAGGCTGGGCGGAGGTTGCACACCCGCAGGTGGAGGAAAGCAGAGGCCTGGGGGAGATGGCTCCAGCCGGCTCCCCCGCCCCTCCGCCGCAGGAAAGTTTGCTCGAGCCACAGGCCCCGCGCTCCTTGGGACAGGCGCAGGGCGGCGTCGGTGAATCCCACTGGCCCGCCCGTCTTTGTCCTTGGGGATCTGGCTCTGCTCTCCAGTCTCTCAAAGTCTAGCTGGATTCAGGCTCTCCAAGCCCTGGCCTTTGCCAGGGCCTTGATCCCGAGGCGTATCTGCCCCTCTGGCCCTCGAATAGGCCAAATAGCGCCCCCTCGAGGCCAAGGTTCGGGTCCCCTCAGAGTCTATCTGGAAATGCTCCAAGGCTGACCCCCTGGCATCTGCAGACCTCGGGCTAAGACCCCCTGGGCATCTCCCCAGAAGGTGAGGCTCCGCTGCCTCCTGCGCACGCCTCCTCTGTCCACGAGGAAGCAGGGAGCCGCAGGAAGGTGCCGGGCCGAGCTGCAGCCGCTGCGCTCCGCTGGGGGTGGCGCTGGCGAGCCGCAGTTCAGCGGCCCATTCTCTGCGTTCCGCCCGGACGCCTGGCTGGGCCCAGCGGTCTGACCAACCCCTTTCATCCCAGGGGTCCTTAAGGGGGCACTGATGGGCGGAGGAGCTCTTTGGGGTCCGGGAAAAGATTGCATCCTCTCTGCCTGCCTTTGAGAAAGGGCTGCAGTTTGCAAGCACCCGAGTTAGACTCCGCATCCCGAAGGCTCAATCCCCAGGCCCGAGCCTTGCCTCGAGGGCCTCCAACCCGCGTCGCCTGGGGAAGAAAAGGGACGGCCGGTCTGGAGGTCTTTGGCGGGTGCTAGCAGAACGCCAGCGGAACCCTGGCTCTCGGCTTTGCAGGCCAGCAACCGCAGAAAGCCTCGCCTCTCACTCAGCGGGTCGCAGAGCTTTACAGTTTACTAAACGCTCCCCCAGGCCCTCTCCGCACCTCTCGGGAGGAATGGGGCTCGCGGTGGTGGTGGTGGGGCGGTGGTTGATCCAAGGGCTCAGTTTTATTTTCTAGTTGAAACGCAAGAGCCTGTGGCCCCGAGGTTAGGGACCAGCCGGGTCTCTGCCCTGGGTCCTTGCGAGGCCCGGAGGGAAGCAGTGACAAGGCAGTGACAAGGAAGGGCTGGGGCTCTGTTTGGCTCTGGCACCCTGCAGAAGGGACTGGTAGGCCCCAGAAGCCAGCGACCTCTTTAGAACGACATCTCCAGCTTCTTCTTTTCTCCCCTCTTTACAGATTCTGCAGAGCACGCCAGGCTCTTAAAGAAGCCGCAGACCGCGGACTCGCCTGAGATAAACAGGAGGATGAGCTTCATGATGAACATTAGCAAACCCAGCGAGGGTCCTCAGCCTGGAGAAACCTTGCGTTCAACCCGGGAGACTCCTAGTTAGAAAAAGAATTATGGTGATCGCCTGATTGATTTAGTGGTAAAGACTCAGTGTAATAGATAGATCGCTTGAGTTTTCGAAATGCACTTTAGAGCCATCCACGCATTTGCAGCTTGGATACATCTAAGCTATTTTTTTTTTAAGTGGGAATTGGAGAGAATTCATTAAATTAGTCCCTTAGGGAAGATTACTGCTAATTAATTAATTGCAAACATTTCCAGAGGGAAGGTATGTCAATTGTAAAGTAATAAAATTAGATAGTTGAAATCCTTACTCAGCAACTTGGATTGCCCATTCGTTCCTAAGCAGATTTTTTTTTTTTTTTTTATGATAGAAAAATGGGGATGGTGGTGGAGAAAAAGCATTAGTTCTGTCCCCTGGCGATCTGGTTGCAAAGGAGAAACTACCACATAGAATGTATTGATTTTTAGCTGATTTATAAGACCTCTGTGGTATCAGTTTGCGCAGAGAGCCTCCAGGCCTCCCTCTCGCCTCTGCTGTCCAGGATCACGGAAAAGCAGCACGATTTTTCAAAGGGAAAAGAAAGGAGGAAGAACAGTGGTGAAGTAAATTCAGGAGGTAGGCCTATGACGCTACCTCCACTTTTTTCTTCCTATGTAGGAAAAACCCCATGAGAACAGGTTTCCAGGAGTGGAAGACCTTGACTGATTATTTCTTTCCCAGGGAGAGGTTGTACCCACAGCAAACCTACCCTGGGCTGCTGACACATGATTGTCACCACCTTGGGCATTTTGTGGGGTTCCCTAAAATTGATTCTTAGGAAGTGTGCCTATTCCTCCCATCATTTGGGTACCCCATTTGGGACTCGTAACAAAACACAGCCGTGATTACTCCAATATCAACTTCTATCTGGCAGACAGCTCAGGTGAAAAGAAGTCTGTTTCTTGGGAAGTCGGAATCAGGAGCACTGCAGGGGAATTTGCTCTCAGCCTGACTGTAGACAGCGCCCTCTTCAGCACTGGAGTGCTCTGAGCTGCCCCACCATGCTGGCTTTTTATGGCTTTGTTTCATTTAGCTTCACTTAGTTTGGGGGAAAGTGACCAATTACATATGTGTACATAGAGAATTTTGTTGAAGCAAGTAAACCTATCAAATACAGACCATCCCAGTTATATTTAAGGGAGTCAATTGACCTAATCTATTTTAAACAATGATACAAATTCTTTTGTTGTATTATGCAGCATGCCCTGGTGTTTCCTCTAGCTGCTCATTAAAACAAATATGAAATGAAGTAAACAATCAAAGGCCTATTTGGAGCAGAGAGTGTATTAATAATCCACCTTGTTTATTTCTATGTTGCTTTGCCTTAGATGCATTGAAGGTCTCAGCCAGCAGAGGATGTGTCTTTGACAATAAACTTGAATGCAAGTATCACACACACACACACACACACACACACACACGAAAACAAGCCATACTGTGTTATTTTGGGTTAAATAGCCATCATTTCCTGATGATTCTTAAAGATAGCAGATTTTCCTGGCAAAGGGGTTGGCGGAATAACACAGAAATGCCCCAAATTAACTTCGAGTGCCTCATAGATGGAATATGTAGTATATGGGCAGGATCACATAGATGAAAATGCACTAAATTATATTGTTTAAGTACAAGTTTTTCTAGGGACTGTTTTTGAACTGAGAAGAATGAAATTCCCTCCAATCTATGCATGAATGAACAAGTCCATCTGGACAGACACATGTATAATTTATACTGACCAGTCACTGCAAGTCTCCCCAAGTGAAGCCGAAATGAACACTAATTGTTTTGACGGAAGTAGCGTGCGTGGCATCTGATTGGGAAACACAGGGAGCCCAGGCCTTGCCTTAGCTACATGCTGTCGACGGCAACTCTGGCATCAGGAGGGGAAATGAAGAGGCAATGATTCCCAGATGAGGCTGTCGGTGTCACTTGGCAGGAAGGTAGCAAATAGAAAGAATGAACTTCTGGGTGAAGAGAGAGAGAGAGAGAGAGATTGAATGCAGAGCTCCAAGTGTGTCAGCAAGCCAAGTACAAACCTGAGCTCAGAGTTCAAAAGGATAGCTTGTGAATAATAAAATTGCTTTGCATTTGTAACATGCTTTGGGGCTTTCTGAAACCCCTTCTTCTTTAAGGCTCATGATGAGGACGCTGGAGAGGTGAGAAGCAAATCCAAGATCACACAGCCCAGTAGATGACAGAGGAGGGACCAGAATCCCGACCTCCCAACTTTGAGTCTTTCCACAGACCATATTTCAAACACATAGGAAGCCAGACATGGCCAGGAGACGTTGCTAACTCCAATGGGACTGAGAGGATTCACATGGAGTGCTCTGGCCAATACAGCATAATTTAGCAGAGAAAATGTCTAAAGAGATGCCACCGGAAGCATCTAAGTTCAGGGTCACTGCTCCATGTTTTTATATCAACCTGTATTATGAAAGAGTTTGTGTAATAATTTGGGAGCTTTAGAAATTTGGTGTGGATCATTCATTAAAATGGAAAACAGCAAGTAGGCTCAGTTGTGACTAAGTATATAACAACAACAAACCCTCAAAAAAAAAAAATTCAGCCAAGGTTATGGCTATGACACAGATTCTTTCAGGTATGTATATGGATTAAAAAAACAAGTAATTGAATTTAGTTAGTGACTATTTTCAAGAAGAGAAAAAAAAATCAATCTTTGCCTGGTAGACTGGGGAGTTGAGGACATTTGTGTTCACTTTCAAAGTGGTTTTTATGTATCAGAATTCTTGATTATTTTATCCTGTGGATGGTGACATCTTTCTAAGGAT